AAACCACTTTTCCAGATCAGAGAACAAGGAGAAGGAAGTGGCAGATTTGGACCAGGTCTGCATGATGTAGCAGGGAGACGTGTCCTGGAATGTGGGAAGGAAGGGGACTCATGGCCAGACATGTTTTCTCCATGAAAAGGGAGCTGAGCAGAGAGCTGCGGGCTGAGTGCCCAGACAAGGGTGAGCTGTGCCCTTCCTCATGCCTTGTCTCAGGGTCTGGGGCGGAGCACTGCTCTGGCCAGAGGCTGGAAGGGGACCTCTCACCCCTCATGGGCGCCCCCGATCCCATCTCTGTTCCAGTGGGTCAGCACTTGGGTGAGCCTCGGCATAGCTCTTCACATTGTGAAGTTCCTTCTCAGTGTGGGTGAGACGAGTACCCTGGGTTTTCCACCTGCTGGCGTGGCCTCTAAAGCTTGAGAGCGTGTGCCTCTCCTTCTCCTCCTGGGTGTCTAAAAAGGGGCCCAGTGAGGATTCTCCCCCAAAGGGAATTAGTGCTAAACAGCTGAAAAAAGAGCCATGATCAGCGTGGCTCTGCTCAGCAATCTGGCTTTCCTCTCTGATTAAAACGAAAATGTCACATAATCCAGTTCAGAGTTTTAGTCTGACAGGCAGCCAGCCCACGGAGCCAACCTTATTCCACAGAATTGTTCATGCTCAGGAGATTTACTGTACAGCTCTCTTGCCCTGGACAGGCTGAAGAAGTCCAGGAGCCAGCGAGCGTGTGGTAGGGATCTGGTGAGGGAGGGGGTGCCACCCAATTACTTTCTGCTTACACCGTCCCAGCTCACCCATGTGCCGCTTCTAGGAACCAGTCACCCGGTGGCAGCGGCCGCGGGAAGCTGGCTGGCGGACCTGGCACCAGCCGGAAACTACATGGACTTGGCAGGCGCTCTGCCCAGCAGTGGCGGCGCCCTGACCCGTCGCAGCTTCTCAGCAGAAGAGGACGGATGCAGGGTGGACAAGAGAAAAGGGACAACGGGGCTTCTATGCCCGGTTTGCTATGAAGCCGTCGCATGGCCCGCAGTGACAGGATCTGGTGGAGGTGTGGCACACCCTCTGCTGACTGTTTGTCTGGACAGCCTTGCGCCAACTAGGGCATCCTTGCCTGGCTCTGGCATTTGACCCTCAGGGCCCAGATCTGCTCTCTATCTGCACCAGAAATCACACAAATACCCTACAGCCACAGCCTCATTCACCCACCCTGCAGGCCCCTTCCCCGCTCACTAACCGCAGGCTCTCACATCCCGGGCTGCCAGGCAACTCTCCCCCGCTCCCTGCCCCTACCTCCAGGCAGCCTCACACCTCAGGGTTCAAAGCTGTTTTGCGGCAGTGGCAGCTGTAATAACAGCAACAAGGAGGCCTCTGGACTGAGTCACCGTTTCAAAGTATGTGCACACACATTCTCTCATTTGTCCTGGTAACTGCCTCTCACCTCTGGGCGGCTTGGGACGGAGGGTGCAGCTAACAGCAGCTTCCTTCTCAAACAAGGTCCTCCTCAGGAATGCCAGCAATCTGACCAGCAGCCTTTTCCCCACACCTCCCCTCCCTCTCTTCAGAGAACCCACACTTTCCACTCTGCCCTGGTGTTAGTGCGCCAGTGGCCCAGGCTGCTGCGTGGCTCTCCCACGGCCAGGTAACAGGAATCACGTCCCTCCCCCCCCCCCCCCAGCCACGCCAATCTCAAAGTCTTAAGCAAGCCAGGCATCCTTGCCTAGCTCTGGCAGGGCCCAGAGAAGCCCACCTGGGGCCTGTACCTCCCTGTTGCTCCATTTCAGCGGAACGAGTTTTCTGGAACACAACTCCCATGTGTTCTCCCGTGATCCATCGGAGAGGATCTGGGATCCACTGGCACCTGCCACAGCCACAGGTCTCTGTCGAGGAAAGAAGCCACGGTGTGTTCTGTGGCTAAAGGGTGACTAGGGACCACTGGGGTGGCCTGGTGTAAGACTCTGCCTGACCGTGATGCTCCTCATGAGTGGTGACTATTTGAGCCAAGATATCATCTCTTTGGGGGGTCCGCCTGTGAGACACAGCAGTGGCAGCAGGGACAGCAGCTGGGGTGAGGCAGGAGAGAGAGCGCTAGAAGCAAGGGAAAGAAGTAGCCAAGAGCCCAGCTTTGCACGCCTGGAAGAATCCTCAGGGAAAGGAAACCTGGATGCCCAGTTCTAAAGTGATGGCCTGGCAGTAGGTACTGAGAGTTCCTGGCACGTCCTGACTGATGAGGTGTTAACAGGCTGCTGGGAAGTACAAAGACCCTGGGTGAATGGGGTGTGTGTAGCTGGGACCCAGACCTGAGTTTCCCCTTGTCCCTGAGGATATGCCCAAGGAGCTGACAAACTGGACACACCTCTTAGAGGCTGAAAAAGCCTGACTAGAATAGGAAGGAATTATTACCAGAGGAACAAGTGAACTTCCAAGATACTAAATGACTTGCTGGTACAGCCACTGACGGCTCACCCGTCAGACATGCCCTTGCCTCCCTTTCCAACAGAACCCTGATCCCTTTATGGATGACGGCGCGTGCAGCTGAAACTTCTCCACAGAGCCCTTTACACCTAGGTGGCCACATGATGGACTTCTGGCCAATCAGACATAAGCGGAGCATTTCGGGGGGAAAAAGCTTTTGCTTTCCTGATCTAGGGACTGGCCCTGCTTTCTTCTCGACTTCTTCTTCCTGCCTCAGATGAAGCAGCCATCTGCCACCATGAGGAGGAAAGCCACATGCCAGGGACAACACAGATAGGAAGGTAAGAGACTGAGTGTCTGATCACACTGTGTGAGCCCTGGACTGGCTCCTCCCAGAATTCTCATTGTGTCTGAGAAATAACTACTTACTTATTTAAGCCACTCTTGGTTGGGTTTTCTGAGTTTTGCAGCTGAATGCATTCCTGACCAATAAATCTGCCTAGTCACAGAGCTGCTGGTAAATGGCGGGGCTGGGCTCCAAGCACTGTCTGTTTAATTCCAGAGCCTGTCTTGCTTGTTTTCCACTGGGCAGCACTATTTCTCGCTCTCAGAACAAGGGGTCTGCAAATTAAGTAAGATGCTGTATATAAAACACTTGACACATTATAGCAGATGCCCAATAAATATTAGTTACAGTTATTACTATTATTATGAGGCCAAGTAGGCCCCAAGCCACTTCAAGCTCCTCTGTTTTAGCGTCTACGACCACAGTCAAGTGGGAACCCAGAACAAGGTCTCATTCTTTCTGAGGAAAAGAGAGTGAGGAAGGGTTAGGTCCTTGGGCCTACCGGGGCTACCGTCCACTGAGATGGACTCCCATTCCCAGAGCCTGCTTGTCCCTTGGGAAGGGCAGCACAGATACAAAGGGGCCCCTGCCATCATTAATGGATCGGAAGAGTCCCTCTCTGTTCCTTCAGTTTGGACCCAGCATCCACAGAAAGCCAGACAAAGACCATGACAAGGCTCAGTCAGGGGCATCAGGCACCCTGGCAAACTTACGCATTTCTCTTCCTTCCCCAGACACAGAAGTATGTCTCCTGAAACCAAGGATATTGCTGCTTTTACAACAGAACACTGGAAACAGGCTAAAAGTCTAATAGCGAGGTACTATTTTAAAAAGTGATGCTATGTCCACAGAAGAGAACAAATATTCTATAGTCATTAAATATGATATTCTCTAAGGGTTTTTATAATTTGGGAAAAACCCTCATGTGAAAAATAGCTGACATATTAAGCTATCCATGTATTATATTTCCCATGATCCCCTTATGACATTATACATACACATAAGTAAGAGAAATTCAAAAGGCAAGAAGAAAAATAAAAAAGCTAACAATGATTAACATCTTTAAATTGTGTTATTATGCATATACTTTTGTATGTTTTCTATGATTTCTATAGTTTCTTGTATAACCACAAGAAAAATCCTTACAAGTAAATTGAAGAAAGGGGAAAGTGTATTAGTGACAGAAGTTGTGACATTGTTATTACTATTTGGACAGGATATCTGGCTTCAAAACATGCTGTTTGCTAACAGCCAGAAAGCAGCCATTTCAGTGAAATATTTTTAAAATGGAAGAGAGTCTCTGATGTGGCACTCCTCATTTCCCAGCAAAAGAAAAACACCGCCCCCCCTCCCTTAATTGGGGCCTGGGACTAGAGGCACATCCCTTACCTCTTTGAAGTAGCTCTGATCTGAGACCCCTCTCACCAGGGATCCCTGAGAGAAGACCCTCCCTGTAGAAGACCATCTCTGCCAAGTTCACAGAGCACAGATATCTGAGACACCTGGAGAGGGGTGGCCTGGTGTTCTGATGAGGCCGGGATATGGTTTCTCTCCCTAGTAAGATGAAAAGTGAACAGATGCTAAGAGATGCGTTTTCTCTGCAGCTCAGCTCTCTGTGTAACTAGCATGCCGTAAGCATCAAGCTTGAGTCTTTGGAACCGGGGCTAAGCCAGCCAGCAAACAACCACAGCCACGGCAAATGCACTATGGAAGTGCTCTGGGCTACCTTTCTCTCTGTTCTTCCTCCCAAGGACTTTGGGTTCCCACACCACACAACTTTTTCAGCCTATCGTTTCTTTCCTCACATCAAACACTTGGACCCAGTGGTCTGGAAGTAACAACATCTCCACTATGTTTCCTTCACACTTGACACAGCAGGCGTCCACCTGGACCTGGATGCGTAGAGATGGAAAGCTAATTTTTCATCACGCACCCAATGGTTCAATATATTGTATGGGACTTTCATCTTTGGGACCACTCTTTTTTTTTTTTTTTTTTAAAGATTTTATTTATTTATTTGAGAGAGAGAGAATGAGAGACAGAGAGCATGAGAGGGAGGAGGGTCAGAGGGAGAAGCAGACTCCCCGCCGAGCAGGGAGCCCGATGCGGGACTCGATCCCGGGACTCCAGGATCATGACCTGAGCTGATGGCAGTTGCTTAACCAACTGAGCCACCCAGGCGACCCCTCTTTGGGACCAAATATCAGAACGCATCAGATATAATAATAAACCATTAATAAAAACTCACGTGGTAAAAGATACTCTTTTCATCCAGAGAAATTGTGTTGTTCCACACAGTTTTAAGATTCCATTTCCTTGCACTCAGGAATTACCAGAATGCTATAAGCATTCTGTGAAGAGTCTCATTTCAAGTTCAGATTATTCAGACTCATCTGTGACAGATGTAGAACTCCCAGATTCCCACAAAGTGTTGTAAGTTTTCCCCTGTAACCCCATCTGGCTTAACATCACCATCAGTGATTTTTTTCAGAATGTGAAAGTTCAACAGCTTGAAATGTTAAAACTCTGTAAAAAGCAGCATTATCACCCAGCAACAGCTCAGAGCTCTGACACTTGAATATGGGATTTGTAATATATCTAACAGTACAGTCCAGACTTGATGAAGAAAGAGTTGGCTAATAGAGTACAATAATACTGCAAGAGGAAATATTTACTGTTTGAGCAACAACTTTTTCAAGCGGCCATAAGATCACAGAATGTTGGAACTAGAAGGGCCTTGGAGATCCTCTAATCTAATTCCTTCAAATCAAAGCCAGGGCCTGGGCACTCCTCCAAGGGAGCACATGAATGGAATAAAGCCTTACAGTGAGGAGGGGGTCGGGGCTCCCATCTGGGCTTCCCGCATTTCTAGGTACCACTAAGTAACATTAATGTTAAAGCATCTGTCTCCCAGCCTTGTGCAAAGACACAATGTCTCCCTCCTATCTACTGAGTAAAATCCAAATCTGGTTTTCAAGGCCCTAGTCTCACCTTTCTACCTTTATTCCACACTCTCCAAACACCTGCACAGGCTCCTTTCTGTACCTGGGATACCATCTCCCCTGTTCAGGCCCTCTGTCCATTGGTATTCAATATATCCCCTCCTCCATGCAGCCTCCATGGTTCCTCCAACCTAAATACGCTCTCATTCTCCTGAACAACCACACCAGCTTATCCCTATGTCTATTAGAGAATGTTTCATATTCTGCATTCTATTATTGGTATGTTTGTTTTATATCCTTCATCAGATTGCAAGTTCCCAGAGGACAGGGAAAATGCTTGATTCATATTAACTAATTAGTTAATTCTTCCATGGTCCTTTGCTTATTAGCAGCGCTTGAGAAACTCAGAACAAATGTGTTCGTAATACATTTTTCTTGTTTATAAAGGCAGATCGAATAAAGGTTCAATTCACTGCACTGCAGTAATTCTGTGTACATGGAATTAGAAGCAAACTTTTTCCTCACTCTTTCTCCCCAACATTTTGTTATGAAAAATTTCACATATACAACAAAGTATGTTTAAGGCCACCTAGATTCTACCATTAACATTTATTTGACTGTACTTACTTTATCACATATCTGTATACATATCCATTCTTGTATTCATTCATTAATCCATTTAATCTTTTTGATGTATTTCAAAGTAAACTACAGGTACCATTCTACTTCCTCTAAATAATTCAGAATGTGTATCATTAACTACAGTTCAATATTCATTTTTTTCTCTTCAAGTAAAATTTATATTCAATGAAGTGCCCAAATCTTAAATGTGTATACACTGAGTTTACATAAAAATATACACCTGAGTTAAAAAAATCCCTACTCTGCCATAAGGACCACTGTTTTGATTTTTTCCCCCACCATAGATTAGTTTTGCCTATTCTAGAATTTCATATAAGTGGAATCAAATACTAAATACTTCTTTTTGTGGAAGGCTTCTTTCAGTTTTTTAGTTTCATACATGTTGCATGTATTATTAATTTTCTCTTTGATATTGCTAAGTAGCATTCCATTATATATCACTGTTTCTGTATCCATTTTCCTACTGATGGGGACATATAGGCTTTATAAGTGTTTGTCAACATATATTTCAATTTCTCTTGAGTAAATAACTGTGAGTAAAACTGCTGAGTCAAATAAGGATATATTTGTTTTATAAGAAATGCTAGAGGGGTGCCTGGGTGGCAGTTAAGCATCCAACTCTTGATTTCAGGGTTATGAGTTCAAGCCCTGTGTTGGGCTCTACACGGGGCATGGATGGAGCCTACTTAAAAAAAAAAAAAAAGAAATGCTAGAGCTTTCCAAAATGGTTATATCATTTTATATTCCTACCAACACTGAGAACTCCAAATTGCTTGTGGGAAGGTTTCTGACACTGAATTAGAATTGTTTTAATGGATATAGGGTTATTCAGATTTTCTGTCATCAGGTGTCAGTTTTTTTTAAAAAACAGACTTCTTTATTTATTTGCCAGAGGGAGAGAGAGAAAGCACAAAGCAGGGGGAGGGGCAGAGGGAGAGGGAGAAACAGATTCCCTGCTGACCAGGGAGCCTGACGTGGGGCTTAATCCCAGAACCCTGGGATCGTGACCTGAGCCGAAAGCAGACGCTTAACCAACTGAGCCACCCAGGTGCCCCCAGGTGTCAGTTTTGATGAGCTGTATTTTTCAAAGAATTTGTAGAATTCATCTAAGTTGTTTAATTTTTTTTGGTATAAAGTTGTTCCTAATATTCCCTTATTAATTTTTTAATGTCTGTAGGATTGATAACACCTCTTTTATTCTGGCTCTTGGTAATAAGTGCTCTCTATGTATCTAATCAATTTTATTGATCTTTTAAAAGACAAAGCATTTGGATTTATGGTTTTTCTCTATTTTTTGTCTATTTTCCAGTTTACTGATTTATGCTCTTACCTTTTTTTTCTTTCATAATTGAATTTTTATTGGTTGTTCCAAAGATCAGTACAGACATTTCAATTTGTACACAATTCTTAATGTACATACTGAAAATCTAAAAAATCATGTAGTTGTGATTCTTTCTAAGAGTTATTCCAGTGACTTTCCAGCTTAAAATTTGAAGGCAAATTTTCCTTAACAGTATGTCAAGTACCAATATCTTCAAATGTTGATACACTATTATCTTTAAGTCCCATTAATTCACAACTTAATATCATATACACTACATACTCAAATTTTCAATCTCACATAGCACATTAACAAGTTACTAGGAAAACTGGACTACCAGACCAAGATGTTGCAGAGTGCACAAAATTCTGACAGGGAGAGTCAAGATCAAGGAGTGGTTTTCTTTAGGAATCAATTCTACCAAAAACAACATGGAAATAGAAGTAATTTAAAATGTTCAAGGCACATTAAATGCACGACTGACTCCAAATTGCCATTTAGTATGCTTAGTATTACAGGATATAAAAACTACCCCACCTATGGAATGTTGAGCTGACCCATAAGACAATCAAAGCCTCCCAATTCAGTATCTCACGATTCTCTGGTTGTACCAAAAAATAAACAACCAACAAATGATTTCACCTCTTATAAAAAAGCATATACACTTAAAAAATGGGATGAGGTAGGATTCCTTCTTTCTTAAAAATGTTTCTAGAGATACTAAAAAACTTGGATTAATGAAATAGTTGATAAAAATATTTCCCTGGATTGTATAAGAGAGACAGGAACCACTGATAAGACATGATATAATGATATTAATCAGACAGCTTCTTCCTCTCCTGCTTCATCAGAGGCTGGACTCTCCTCATTTTTAGTTTCTCTGTTTTCGGCAGGTAAGTCTTCTTTCATTTCTTGGTTAGCCACTTCAGCCTGTCTTCCCTTTTCTCCCCTTTTCCCCTTTGTTTGCACTTTTTTGTCTAAAGATTTATCCTCTCCTGCTGCCTTTTTTGGCTTCATTTCCACTTTTGTAGGAGCAGGTTTAGCTGACAACCTCAGTAACCTCCTCGTGGGCTCCTCTTTTGCTGCCCCTTCGCAGGAGCTGACCTTCCTCTTGGGCATCATGGTGGGGAGTGGGCGAGTGCCCGGTGCCTGCGCCTGTGGGGCTGAGGTGTGTGCAGAGCCTTCATGAAGCTGGGCTGCCTGGCTGTTGTCATTCCTCCCCACTGCTCTTTTCTTTTTCATGTCCTTCTTACTACTTATTTTGGATATTTTTCTTTTTCTTTTTTTAAAGATTTTATTTATTTATTTGACAGATAGAGACATAGCAAGAGAGGGAACACAAGCAGGGGGAGTGAGAGAGGGAGAAGCAGGCTTCCCGCTGAGCAGGGAGCCCGATGTGGGACTCGATTCCAGGACCCTGGGATCATGACCTGAGCCGAAGGCAGATGCTTAATGACTGAGCCACCCAGGTGTCCTGGATATTTTTCTTACGAGGAAACCTTCAGTCACTGAGTTTTTAGACCTGTCTTATCTGATATCGTAGCCAATGACCACATGTGGGTATCTAAATTTAAATAATTTAAGTTAATTAAAAATTAAAGCCACATATGATTATTGACTATCAGACTTGACAACACAGATACAGAACATTTCCATTGCCACAGAAAGTGCTACTGTACAGCACATTTAAGACTTTTCTTTTTGGGGCTCCTGGGTGGCTCAGTTGGTTAAGCCTCCAACTCTTGATTTTGATTCAGGTCATGATCTCAGGGTTGTGGGATCGAGCCCCTGGCTGGGCTCAGTGCTCAGCACAGAGTCCGCTTTGGATTCTCTTTCTCCTTCTCCCTCTGTCCCTCCCCTCTCTCTCTTAAATAAATAAGTAAATAAAATCTTTTAAAAAATACCTTTTTATAAAACAAACATTTAAAGCTATAAAATTTCCTCTAAGTACTGCTTTAGCTGCATCCTATAAATTTTGCTGTTATATTTTCATTATCATTTAGTTAAAATTATTTTCAAATACCCTTGCAATTTCTTCTTTGAAACACAGATTATTTACAGTGTGTTCCTGAATTTCCAAATATTTGGGGTTTCCCAAGATATATTTCTGTTACTGATTTCTAATTTAATTCCAATGTAGTCAGAGGATATACTACATTCTCTACATAGTCCAAGTTTTTAAACTTTACTGAGACTTGTTTTATGGAATGTATATCCTGTTGTTGTTGAATGTAGTAGTCTACAAACATCAATCTGGCTTATGTCTTCATCTGTGTTTACTGAAAATTTTTTTGTGTGTGTAATTGGTCTATCAGTTGCTGACAGTGGGAAAATCTCCAACTCTGACTGAGGTATTTTTTGTTTCTCCCTTTAATTCTGTGAATTGGTATATTAAGTTGCTGCCTGGCAACTTTCAGTTGGCTAGTATGAAATAGAAACTTTAACTAAAAGATTTAACAAAGAAGCTTCTGGTATCTCATTAATATGTTGAAGTATACAACAAACTACGCTGCTTATTTGGTTGTTAATAGTAGTTTACTAAGACCCTAAAAATAACTGTTTCCTCTAGAAGTTTTCAAGTCCCATGTCTTTATCTACTTATAGATATACTTTTCAAATTTGCTAATCTGCACTAATTATAGGAAGGAGCAGTTTGCACTTTAAAAGTGTGCTTTTAGTTCCACCTCTGATATGGCCAAGTTAGCTCCTATTGGACCAATACTCCCGGAAAAAGCTATATACTCCAGACAGAATTTATAAAAACAATTGCCTGAAGGCACTGTAGAGAGACAAAAAAATAGGTAGATTCTGCAGGAGGGCTGAGATGTGGGAGAAAGGAAAAGACAGAGACGTGTTTCTCAATTTTATGGCTTTTAGCCTGGTGGCAGGCTGTGGTCAGTGTCATGCTGAGGGCTAAAACTCCCAACAGAAAGCATGCAGTCTTTCAGAGACAGATTTTGGGACCCCCCACAGCCACTGGAAAGTGAAGAGGAAATCCCAGAAAGAGAAAGCCTCAAATTCTGTGTAAAAACTCTGCCCAAATCTCCTGAGACATGGATGCATGGGGCAGACTCTAGGCAAACTAGCTAAGAATAAAATAACTGAGCCAAGAATTGAGATACTTAGCCCAACAGCCAGGGTTTGTGGTTTTAATTCAAACTGAGGTAATTGCTAGCTAAGGCAAAAACCAAAATAAACAATAACCCGCCCTGCCTGCAATAAACCTCTTCGGAAGAATATAATAGAATCCAGAGTCTCCATAATGTAGTAGTACAATGTTCAAAATACAACCTAAAATTATTAAACATGCACAGAAATAGGAAAATGCAGCCCATCCTCAAGAAAAAAGGCAATCAATAGCAATCCCAAGATAACCCAGATGTTGCAATTAGCAGATAAGGATTTTAAAGCAGCTATTACAATTATGCTCAATGGCATAAAAGAATATATGAAATATACAGAAAACCTTGGCAGAGAAATAGAGACTACAAAAGAGAACTAACTGGAAGTTCTATAATTAAAAAATACAACATACAAAATTTTCCAAAAAATCACTGGATGAACTTAATAGAATAGAAATTATATTGGAAAGTGTCAGTGATCTTGAAGATAGACCAACAGAAATTACCCAATCTGAAGAAGAGAGAGAAATAAAAGATTGAAAAAAAAAGAAATCCAGAACATCAGACCCAGGACAATATCAAAAGGTCTATCATAGTGGCCAACAGACACACGAAAAGATGCTCAACATCACTCATCACCAGGGAAATGCAAATCAAAACCACAATGAGATATCACCTCACACCTGTCAGAATGGCTAAAATCAAAACCACAAAAAACAACAAGTGTTGGCAAAGATGTGAAGAAAAAGGAAATCTTGCACTGTTGGTGGAAATGCAAACTGGTGCAGCCACTGTGGAAAAGAGTATGGAGGTGCCTCAAGAAGTTAAAAATAGGGGCGCCTGGGTGGCTCAGTTGGTTGAGCGACTGCCTTCGGCTCAGGTCATGATCCTGGAGTCCCGGGATCGAGTCCCGCATCGGGCTCCCTGCTCGGCAGGGAGTCTGCTTCTCCCTCTGACCCTCCTCCCTCTCATGCTGTCTCTCATTCTCTCTCTCTCAAATAAATAAATAAAATCTTTAAAAAAAAAAAAAGAAGTTAAAAATAGAATTACCCTACAATCCAGTAAGCATACTACTAGGTATCTACCCAAAAAATACAAAAACACTAATTCAAAGGAATACATGTATTATAGCAGCATTATTTACAATAGCCAAATTTTAGAAGCAGCCCAGTGTCCACTGATAGATGAATGAATAAAGAAGAGGTGGTATGTGTACACACACACACACGGGAATATTATTCAGCCATAAAAAGCAATGAAATCTTGCCCTTCACAATGATATGGATGGAGCAAGAGAATATAATGTTAAGTGAAATAAGTCAGTCAGAGAAAAACAAATACCATATGATTTCACTCCTATGTGGAATTTAAGAAACAAAACAAATGAGTAAAAGAAAGAGAGAGAGAGATAAACCAAGAAACATACTCTTAACTATAGAGAACAAACTGATGGTTACCACAGCAGAGGTGGGTGGGGGGATGGGTGAAATAGGTAATGGGGAGTAAGGAGGGCACTTGTGATGAGCACTGGGTGATGCTCAGAATTGTTGAATCACTATATTGTATACCTGAAACTAATATAACAGTATATGTTAACTATACTGGAATTAAGATAACAAGTAAGTCTATCATAGGTATAACCAGTCTCAGAAGGAAAAAAGAGAGAGAATGGGGCAGAAAAATATTCGAAGAAATAATGGCTGAAAATTCTCCAAATTTGGTATAAAACCTAAATTTACAGATTTAAGAAGCTCAATGAACTCTAAGCAGGATAAATAAAACCAAAGACAAAGAAAGGAAAATCTTGAAAGCAGCCAGAGAAAAAGGATAAATTACATAAAGATAACAATGATTCCAGTGACCACTGACTTCTCATCAGAAACCAAGGAAGCCAGAAGATGGTAAAACGGCATCTGGAAAAAAAAAATCCTCAACCTAGAATTCTATATCCAGTGAAAATATCCTTCAGGAATGAAGGTGAAGTAAATATACAGTATATTTGTCATATCTTTCAGACAAAGCTTTCTATTTTACACTAAAAGTTGGCTAGCTATGCAGCAGTTTGCACACCAATTCATAGAAACTTTAAAACACATATTTTAAAATGAACAGTAATGTCATTTCAATAATAATAATGTAGGACTTTCTTTTGCAGATATAAAAATAAATGTGTTATAAGGCTAATGCATGAAACTGTGATATTCGTTTACCCACACAGTGCCTGGCTGATTGTAAGCACCCAATAAATATTAGCTATCATTATTATAATATGCTAAATACTTAGCTCTTTTCTCATAGGGACACTCTGAGGACAATTTTATTCCCATATTATGTATCAGGAAACCGAGGCACAGAGTTTAAGTAACTTGCTACAGGTCACAAAGTATGGACTATCTGGAATCTGAACGAAGGCTGTGGATTTCAGAGTTAAGGATGTTATTGCATCAAGAATATTAATATCAAAAGTCTGGAAGAATCCAAATGTCCATCGATAGAGGGCTTAGATAAATGAAGGTGCATCCATATTAAAGAATCATGTGAACTGGAAGGGGCGGCGGTCAACAAAACAACCTGTCCTCAGTTTTTCCTTTAATGGTAAACAGTGGGTAACAAGTTATTTCTACGTAATCTAAGTCTGGCCTAATTCCGCCAAGATTTCCTGGTCTCAACAGTCTCTTCTCCTTCCTCCTTTCCCACAAATATGCCACTGGGAAAGTGAGGAAAAGTTCAATTTAGGCCTCTTAACATTATTCAGATCCAGAGACAGAATGCAGAACTATTAAAAGCTAAGAGTTCAAAATGAAGGGTGGGCAAGGTATGAGGCACAAGAAAAGAAAACAGGCCAAGATAGCCTGAAAGGACACATTCACGTTGGAGAATTAACTGCAAAAGGTTGAGACTGAGTCAATATTTGCATTAGAAATCTCAACCTGAATTAACACGTTTGTTGGACTTGTTAGTCCAGAAATAGTTCCCAAGAGAGCTCTGGAAGTGTGACCTTCGCTTGCACATCTGCTCTGACTTTTATGAGTTCTCTTAATACTTTTTAAAGCTACTGCTAAGTGTTAATTTTTGTTCAAAGTAGGATTACCAAACAACCTGTTAGCAACACAAAGATTCTCTTCATACTCGCCTTCCTTAAACCTAGAAGCAGACTGTTTTCCAAACTGTTAACATCCCAAGCTGACTGCCAAAACAGTTATTAACTAGCCTCTGACATCTAAACAACAGCTGTGTGCTGTCCTGCTAAAGGACAGCCTCACCCAGACAGTGACTCTCCAAAGGTCAGCTGTGTCCTGCAGCAGGAAGTCCACGCCACGGTTGGTGGCACATGCCGGCACAACGGAACAGTCTGTGTTTGTCCCAATTCCCTTTCCTCCCTTTTGGCTAATCTTCACTGGTCATAAATGTTCAGCTCGCCTTGCACAGGAAGCGGGGGCCTTAAACTTCATCCTGCTCGCTCATTGCAGTTCTTGCTCTTACACAAACTCTTTTCACAGAAGACCATCTTAGAGTTGCTACTGAAAATGGTGATGACAAAGGACCAGAAGACAAAGCAAAAACACTTGTCTCAGAAGCAAGCACATTCAAAAATATTGTCAGGTGCTGTTCTAGTGCTTTCTTACAATATCCCCGCCCTCTACTGCCATAAGGATCATCCCTCCCGGTTACTAGGTAGGGAAGCTGCAGTTGCTCAGAGCATTTACATGAACTGCCCATGGTCACACAGCTTTGGAGGGACACCACGAGACTATCCAGTTCTCTTTAACTCAAGTCCAAGGGTCTTTCTACTCTGGCAACCTTCAAGAGTACCAACACCCTTCAAAATTCCAACTAGATTAAAAAAAAACCAAAAAAACCCCTTGTCATATTGATGGGATGTAGGTGGAAAGTTGATTTAAAAATTTACCTGGAGGAGTAGATGCATAGGAATAGCTAATGTCATTTCAATAATAATAATGTAGGACTTTCTTTTGCAGATATAAAAATAAATGTGTTATAAGGCTAATGCATGAAACTGTGATATTCGTTTACCCACACAGTGCCTGGCTGATTGTAAGCACCCAATAAATATTAGCTATCATTATTATAATATGCTAAATACTTAGCTCTTTTCTCATAGTGACACTCTGAGGACAATTTTATTCCCATATTATATATCAGGAAACCGAGGCACAGAGTTTAAGTAACTTGCTACAGGTCACAAAGTATGGACTATCTGGAATCTGAACGAAGGCTGTGGATTTCAGAGTTAAGGATGTTATTGCATCAAGAATATTAATATCAAAAGTCTGGAAGAATCCAAATGTCCATCGATAGGGGGCTTAGACAAATGAAGGTGCATCCATATAAAGAATATTTCTGAGAATGAGGTAAATCTATATAATATGAAAAGATGTCTATAATATATGTCAACAGAAAAAAACAAGGTGCATTGCATAGGCTTATTTTTGTTGAACAATAACCATATATATTGAGTCATGATTGTTTGCAAAGATACATGTGCGCATACGTATGCTGTATACATGTATGTACATGTGTGTATATGTTATATAAAGTTGTATATACATACATATATACCACCCTTTTTCCCTATGGATGGGATTAGGATGGGGGAAATCCTTTTCTAACATACTTCTGTATTGTTTCAATCTGTTATAAGCATGCATTACTTCTGTAATAAACCAACAAGATTTTTAAAAATGGCTCACCACCTAAAAAAAAAAAAGGTGTTCTTTTCAAAGGAAAACACTTCCATAAACAGGTTAAACCTTAGCTAACTGAAAGTGCAAGCGGTCCTCTCCAACTAGGAGTTTGGTACAGTCATTTCCACTGTAAAATGGCACTCCAAGACTGCAATAGAGGACAGTCTGGGCTTTAACGCAGACCTATGTACACAAACAGCGTGTCCTCGCCTATAGCTGGCCTGGTGCCCTGCACATACCTGTGTGTAGGAGGAGAAAGGGCTTTCCTGTGCAGTCACTTCTTTCAGCCAGTGCTGATCATCAGGAGTAGAGTATAGAGAACTGAATGGCTGCTGAAATATGGCCATGGTCTGGATGGTCCAATTCTAAGAGACTCAGTGAACCCAGCTGTGGATTAGTCTGGACTGGGATAGGTCCCAGATTTATGATAAGGCACCTCCAGTGAGCAGTGGTGATAGTGGAGAGAAGGCTACCTGTGGGAGGGAAATCTGGCCCAGTCTATGTTTTCTAGGTCGACTGGGTCGGCCATCCCCAGGTTGGGCGAGCCTGGAACCCTTAGTACCCAACTCCAACCTGGGCAGTGGTGAAAACAGGACAGGCTGGTGTGCCCACCAGTTAACTCTACTCCCTGGGGCTGGCCTTGAGACACACTGAGTCACACCAACAGGCTTCACGTGGTGAAAAAGTGGAATCGTCATCTGATGCCAGATCCAGCTGGATGCATTTTGGATAGAATTACTCTGAAGCTGTCTCAATAGCAAAGTGGCAAATTGTTTTCTAAATTCATCTGTGAAGGGATTTTCTCCTTCCTTCCTTCCTTCCTTCCTTCCTTCCTTCCTTCCTTCCTTCCTTCCTCCCTCCCTCCCTCCCTCCTTCCTTCCTTCCTTCCTTCCTTCCTTCCTTCCTTCCTCCCTCCCTCCTCCCCTCCCTCCTTCCCTTCCTCCCTTCCTGTTAAGAGGCACACACCCCTGCTCTGTCTTACAACCTCACCTGAAACTTGGTATGGCTGGGGCAGGAGAAAACCTAGTCACCTGCCAGGGGACAGGAAGGATATCCTGTGACAAGGAACCTGGAGACAGAGAGCCCAGATCCAATCAAGACTTTGTTGGGTGATGCCTGTGCTGGCAAAAGCTTGTTGAACGATGCAGGCTTGAATTTCCCACCGATGACCAAACTTTGGACCTTCTATTATTTTTTTAAAATAATTTTCATTTTTATCAGAGCAGACAAAATCACCTGGTTTAAATCAAATTTCTGAAAAATACTGAATTAAAAAAACACTAGGCAAACAATGAGGTAAACACTTTCAATGCTTTTAGTTTTTTTAAAAACCAAGGAATACGTTAATATTGCCATTTCTTGGTTTATCTACTTATCCTTCTTCTATTGATTTTGTTATAATTTAGAATTCAGCTCTTTTACACCATCTACCACATTTCCCCTTCCTTTACATTAGTACGAGAATGAACTTGTCACTGAAAAGCCAAGAAGTTCAGTCTGATTTTTTTTTCTGTGTACCATTTTTTCCTTGGAGTTAACATTTCCCTTTTTATTTCATTTGTTTAATCTTCTATGCACTTTTATTCAAATTCTTCTAAACACTCTGCCTGAATTATCAATAAATATTATTTTCTAAATGGCCAAATATGTCAGATAATCTGGAATTTCAAAACAGCTGAGTCTATTTTATACACATTGAGCTTCTCTGCACTGTTTTCCTGTGTTGGTTCCCTGCCTTCTGGATTCTGTTTCTTCCGCCTTTTTTATTTATTTCCCCATTTTGCTGATTTGTATTTAGTCTGGTTGTTTCCTAGAAAAGGATCCACAGGAAGCAAAGTTTTGAGTCCCTGCAGATTGAAAAATGTCTTTGTCCTATCTTCACATTTGATTGAAAGTTCAGCTGAGTATAAAATTGTAGATGGAAAATTTCCCTCAGAATTTTTGTTGACTTTGTTCCATTGTCTTCTAGCTTCCAGTACTGATGTTAAGAACTCTGATAGCATTCTGATTTTCATTCATTTGTTTGTGACAAGTTTTCCCCCCTCCAAAAGCTTTCACTGTTTCTGGAGTTTTGACTGTTGATGACAATGTATGTGGGTTTGGGTAATTTTTTTTTTCATTTGTTGTACTTCTTAAGATTTTATTTTTTTAAGTCATCTCTACACCTAATGTGGAGCTCAAACTCAACCCTGAGATCAAAAGTTGCATGCCCCACTGACTGAGCCAGTCAGGCACCCCTCATTCATTGCATGTTTTAATCTAGAGCACCTTGACTTGATCTTCAGTTCTGAAATTTCTCTTGTATTTTTTTCTTGGATAATTTCCTTCTCTCTATTTCTGTGTTCTTTCTCCTTGGAATTCCTATTAGTCAGACACTGAAACTCCTGGATGTGCCATTAAATTTTTTTAAATATTATTCTTCCTCTATTTTCTCACTTCATCTTTTCATTTTACCTTTTGGAAACACCCTGATTTTGTTTTCCAGTCCTTCTGTCATATTTAACAAGCATTTAAGTTAGTTACACTTTTTTTTTAAAGATTTCATTTATTTATTTGAGAGAGAGTGAAAGCAAAAGAGAGGGAGCAAGAGAGCACACACACAGGGAGAGGGAGAAGCAGACTCCCCACTGATTAGGGAGCCCTATATGGGACTCAATCCCAGGACCCCGAGATCATGACCTGAGCCAAAGGCAGACACTTAACTGACTGAGTCACCCAGGCGCCCCTAAGTTAGTTACAATTTTTATCTTCCAGTATCTCCTTCTTGTTCTCAAATATGCTAATTCACTTTTTAAATGCTAATTCACTTTTTAAAAACTTTATTATGAAAAATTTCAAACTGGTATTCAAAATAATGCCTCACACACACGTGTGCTGAGACTGTACAGTCATCGTCCTTCCTCTACAGCACAGTGTGGCCCATGTCCTGCATGGGAGGTATCGTGTGAATAAATAAAAGTGATAGCTAGCTACGGCCTCCTGGCTGTTGCCTGCCACCCAGCCATCAAGCTAGCATTCTGCTTGGACAGGCCACAGTAAAAAAAAAAAAAAAAAATTCATCTCAAATTTTCTCTCATTTAAAAATATTTTAAGAAGTATTTATTTTAAAAGACCCCGAGGTAAGACTGCGTATTTCAATCCAACAAAGATTTCCTGGGCCTCAGCCATTCCAGGGACTCATTCCACGGCAGCACCTTGCTAGGGTAAACAGAAGCCTACTGAGTACAGAGGCAGAGGTAAGGCTTTTGGCCTGGCCTGGCCCACAGCAGCTCCCTCTGGCGCTCTCCCTATCTGTGGGTCTAAAGACCCCTGGTTTGAACATCATCTCCAAAACACGTGGGCAGTAAATGAGCTATTCTGGCTCCTCCTAGGAGATGAGAATGATGCTTGGCCTAAAGATAGCTCCTGAAACAAACTGGCTTTCTAGTCTCTAGACGCTTGAGCCTGAGGTTGTGACAAACACCAAGCAATCTATTTAAATCAGTCAGTCCTCTTTTAAAGAATATCGCACAACTCAAACAGGGCAGTCCAAGAAGTATTTTGGTAGCACAGGAGATCACTTGGGAGGTGCTCATGGACTAACATCTCCTATCCCCCAAAAGATTAGCTGCTGGAACTTGTGGTTCAGCACCCTTCCAGCGCTCTCCTGTGCTTGGCATCTGAAGCACCAAGAAAGGTTAACTTGGCACAATGACTGCAGCAAGGTGATGCTTTGGCAACCCTCTCAGTTGAGGTTTTTTTTTTTTTTTTAAAGAAAAGTTTGAAAAACCTGTAATTTCAGAGATTAATTCAGCTTTGTATCACTTTAGAGACCGAGGCAATCTTACTTTTAGCTTAAAAACATTACCAGGGAGTGAGAAAATACTGGCAATATGGCTCATATGAGAAAAATTTCAAACCTCCCATTGGTGTTAGCCTGATAGTAAATGTCGAGAGATGTTTTTCCTGTTGTCAAGCCAACATGTGCCAGAATGGGCATGCATGGATTTCCCGGACCCAAACTTTATGAAGCCCTAACTGCCGCCACGTCTGTCATCGATCACACCCTTCATTCCAGTACTAACACATCTTTTCAAAGCACCTTCTCCCCCACCTTTGGCTCTGTTCATCTGCGTGGTTACAGCCTGTTATATAACTGCCACTTTTCAAGAACCAAAACGCTGAACAGCTGTGTGTTTCTTAAATTATGCAAGGCTTGACCTTATTGCTAGGAAATACCTGGCATATTTTCATTGTCTTCAGAGGTCCAGGCTACATTTTGAAGAGCTCTTCCCACCTTATTAGTCATTTCTCTGATGCGCGCTCAGGCAACAAGGAGGGAACTGGTAACTCTTAGACTGATAACTGTGCTGGGCCGTGAGTCACGCCTTCAGGGTCTCATGATCTCATCACGGTTTCCATGAAACAATGATAGTAACTGCAGTCCCTTACTGAACACTTACTATGTGCTAAACGCTGCTTCCAATGCTTTACATGCACTGATTTGTTATCCTCGTAACCAACCTATGGTGTAAGAATTATTTTTATTTTTATAACATAATTTTTTTTTAAATCATTTTTATCCTCACTTTCTAGATGAGAAAACAGAGGGGAAAGAATGTCGGAGGTCGTGCTGTTGGGAATGGTGGAACTGAGGTGCAAACCCCGGGCGGGAGGCAGTACGCCTGGAGCCTTGCCCTAATGACTGTAACAGACTGCCTTTCCGCCTTGGCCCACTGGCCCAGGGCCGCACGGGCTGATTTGGAGAGCGTGAGGAGCATGTTTGGGTGTGGTTTACTTGGGTGTCCTGTGGCACAGACCGCTGGCAGGCCGCAGAGGCTGGGCATCCACACTTCAGAAGGTGCTCAGAAACACCTCGGCACGTGGGCTGTTTCCAACAAGAATTCCACTACACTCAACATTTTGCCAAAGTGTGCCTAAAAGTACTTTGAAAAAATAATTTGGCTCCTGGGGCCAAATGGCCAAGCATGTCAAGGGAGGGCAGCAGCTGGGGTCCAGGCCAGCTTGAGCCTGAGAAGGTATGCAGACTACAGCACAGAGCTGTTGCTGGTACATTCTGGGTGGGAATCTGGTTGTGGGTTAACCCAAACCCGCTCCTAACACAGGAAGCTTCAGAAAAGCTTAAGAGTGTCTACAGGGGCAATATCAGAGAGCTCAAAACAGAAAGACACAAACTCTATTTCCCAAAGGGTGATCTGAGGATCATCTATATCAGGGTCATGTGGAGAGTTGTCTTTGTTTTATTTTGTTTGTTTAATGAGGAAACTCAGGTTCTACTCCATCCCTACTGAATCAGAGTTTCCCCCTATTGGGCTTATAAGTCCGGAATTTTAGAAATCTCCCCAGATAATTTTTTTTTTTTTTAAGATTTTATTTATTCATTTGAGACGCAGAGATACAGAGAGAAAGAGAGAGCATGAGCAGGGGGAGAGGCAGAGGGAGAAGCAGGCTCCCTGCTGAGCCAGGAGCCCAATATGGGGCTCGATCCCAGGACCCTGGGATCATGACCTGAGCCAAAGGCAGATGCTTAACCGACTGAACCACCCAGGTGCCCCTCCCCAGGTAATTCTAATGTACTCTAAAAATTGATAATCATTGCTTTAGGTCTCTGGAGCTTCACATCCAGGTATCACAGAAAGTCTGTATTTTAAAAGCAAATTTCAATTCAACATGTAGCATTTAGATCTGAGAATCAGGGTTCTAGTCTCAGCTTTATTAACAGCTTGCTGGTTGACTATGAGGATGTTCCTTGGCCTTTCTGAATCTTAGGCTCCTCATCAGTAAGATAAGGGGACTAGGTTCCTCCCGGCTCTAAATCCTGTGCTTCCACCTTAGTGTACCCAAGTATACTCGACACACCTAAGTGTTTACTGAAATCGAAC